AAAAAAGAAAAGCAGTCAGCGAAAAATTTTGCGTCCTATCGATTGGCTGGGAGGCGGGGTGGGTACGGTATTTGCAGCGACATTTGCCGCATGCCGCAAGGGAGGATGCCGCAATCGGGGAGAAGTTCCGTTACCCCGATCAAGGTTGAAATCATCATTGAATCTACTCACAATGAAGTATGTAGGAATAAAAAAGATTAGATAGTTGTAATGCTCATGAAAACGCTGCACTGACTTCAAATAGTAAATGTTGAAGTATAAGAAATTTATAAAAAATTCACTGACATCATAGATTTGTTGAATGTTGAGTGACGTTTTACGGTACCAGCAGACTTGCAGCGGACTCAGTTTCCGGCGCTCCTTAGATTGCGCCTCATCCACGGCCACTTCTGAAATTGTTACTTAGCTCACTTTTGAACCTTCTACTTCATCAGTGAATCAATGATGACAAAATACCCAATAAAAACGCTTTCACCAAAATAGCGGGAGTTCAGGGCAACAGTTTGATGGCATTAAGGCTTCGAACGGAGTCCTCAGTAACTGCCCATCAGCTACAACTCCCACCAGTGTTGCACAAATATACAAGTACATACAAATATACATCTACATCTACATACATATACACATACATATGTATGTATCGTTCCATTTTATGCTCCAGTTCAACTGAGTATCATATAATTTGCTGCGTATCACTTAACCCATTTATTTCACATTCCAACATAATGTTTCTAAAAAACTTTCTTATTTATGGCTCCTTTTTCTTTTTTTACAGTCTATATTTCTAATTTGTTCAAATTCCTATGTAGTTTTTCTTTTCAATAACAAAACTATCATTTGATGATAATCTCGTCTGCGGCTGTATTTATTGACAGTTGCGTTTCTTCATGGCTAACACGATGGACGCCTGGCTCCTATTTGATTTTCATTATTTTCAACTCCAGCATCCCCAGGAGTACGAACTATTTAACAGTTTTTGAATATGAGAATCTCTCTCTGTTATAAAACCACAGTATGCTGTACCCACCGCATCCACTCATCGAAATCCTCTGCTCGTTCTCGGATAGGATGGGAGGAAGCTCAAGACGATTCTTGACGTCATGCTTTACAGCTGAGCTGATGTCCTGGAAGGAATAAGCAGTTGTCTACGAAGTTGACATCAGCCGTTATGTTGGGCGGGAAGGCTTGTGATTCGTAGTCGAAGGCAACTAACCAATCACACACCCCGCAATTTTCCTATTTCACATAGAGGAGGGAAAGGGGTCACTCAAGATTCTACTTCTCTGGAACGAGTAATTTTTATACAAATCTTTTTTTAACCACACCTCTATCCATTGATCTTTGGATGGACTCGCCAGGACGATCGATTTCTTTCCCAGATGAAGAGTGAATGCATCGTCACGTTTTCCGGTGACATTGTACGAATCCCCATCTTCGACCTTCACGAAAACATTTTTTTGCAAATTTTATGGTCCAAATAAATAGATAAATATGTCTCTCATCATTTTCTGCACATATTGCTTTTGGGTTAGGTAATCTGAAGGGTTGCAACGGAACAGACTGCCAGCTCAGAGGAGTCTGTCCGTAAAATGGTTGGATAAAAACTGGACTGCAATGATTCGAAAAATAATCGTTAGAAAAGAAACTAGTTACTAACCAGTAGACCTTTCAGCTTTAGCTCAAGATTAATTGCGAACGGGGTCTCTTGTGACCGATGCGCGAGTAGAACTTCATCACTGAACAGAAGAAGCATTCGCGGTGTGAGACCACGTTGAGACCAACGTTGCACCCATCCGAAACGCAGAAGCCTCTGAATCTTGTACTTTTAACAAATCACCTATAATATCTTGTAAGATTATTTGAAATGGTTGGTTGTCTCGAGCTCGAACACTTTGAAGCCAGCTGGTGCAAATCGGGTCAGTGGACTACGCGGGCTCAAGTAAAAATCTTTGCGGAATGGGGCATTTCTACGACGATCAGAAACCCAATTCAACTTTCCAGATATTCCTTTCGGAGTAGTTAGTGCCAGAGTCATGCGAACATGGTCGCATTTGTGGAAAATAAAGTTTTGGCATAGGAAGTAGTATTGCCGGCTGAAAATACATTCAAAAAATAGGGCGAATCTGAGTCCAGGGGCGAGAATCCGATGCATGGCGCAACCGAGAAAGGATTCAGAGCACGTTTATTCTTCTTACTGAACAAATTCACAATTAACAATGAACAAATGGAATTACCCGATTTGGTTGCGTCAGAAGGCCCTGAGTGGCAGTATCAAGCTCCAACTGAAGTAGCGCAACGAATTCCGTGATCGCTTCTCGTTGCTTTCGTGTGCTGTCCGCAAATCGAGCGATCTTTTCCAAGGCCACTCGAATTGGACCGAAATCGGCATCGGTGATGCCTTCGGAAAGCTGCCATCCAACAAGTCGGGCAAGTATCTGAAAAAGGTCGAATCTAGTAGTAAACTGACGAGCATTTCAATTTTGTGGCACGTTACCGGTCGCCAAGCTACTATTCTGTGCAGGATCTTTAGTAAAATCCAGTTCAATGGAATGTAGCATTGACTTGATTCCTCGAAATTCCTAAATTATGCTGTTTTTAAAAAGAAAATGTAGCGAAAATCATGTTAATAATACTTGACTTCTATAAAACTGAGGAACTTCACTTTGCACATGCCATTGGTGGATGGTCGAGCTGCAAGGATGACCCACCAATGAGGACACTCAGAGGCCAACCAATAGCCGATTTCAACATTACTGATATCCAGTTGAACAAGTTTGAAGAGAACCGATGAAGTCACCTGATTTCAGTTCGGAATTCGGCGTTGCTTTTTGTGAGCTGATCGAGTGCTGCAATATAGATGGGGTACTGCTCCAATAACGTCGTATAGGCTGGCAGCACGTTATGCGTCATACACAGAACTCGTTGAGCTAGTTGTGATATATTCCTGAAAGTTGTAGTTATTACTTACTTATTAATGGCTACAACTCCATGTCTACAGCTATCAAAAGTAACTAGTAAAGTAAGTGCCGAGTGGCACACAGTCAACAAGGAGAAGATGAATTTGGCAGATCTGTAAAAGGAAAGTAAAGAAAGTGATGTGAATTTTGGATCACGATAGTAATGACTGTTCACAAGTCTATTCAGCAATTCTAACTTATTTTTGAATCAGAGTAGTGGGGACCATTTCCCAAATCAGTGGCTCAAGCTGGCCCTGCCAACTTTCCGCCCGCAAAAATAAATCTGTTACTACTTACTCGGCGCTACTGATCTCTTCTAGAAACGTTGCTTGAGATTCTTTGAGATCCTTCAGCTTCTTCGACAGCTCCATGACTACTCCGGAGCTTTCCAAAAAAGGCTCGATCAAGCGTGGCAAGTTCTGAAGAGGTAGTAACACAATTGTACCAAATTGGTTAGGTGATGATCACCTCGCCCAAAACAAAAATTTTTATTTGCCCATAAATTTTATTATTAAATACTTTTTATCCAAGATCATTTCAAAAGTGAGGCTCAGGGCGCTTACTTCGCACACCAGACGGAAATCCCGAGCAGCGCTGCGCTCATGATCGAGGAGGTCCTCTCGTATTTGGTAGCACATATCGGAGAGCACATTCTGAAGTATAAATCTCTAGAAGGTAGAAGACAACACCAGAAACTGTAGAACCTCTTTATTGCCATTGACCGTATCCTCCACATCAGTATACACTACAGATAAATCTGGCCATGTTTCGTAGTCGAGCTTACTGTCAGCAATCGAACTGGATGCGGTCATTTTTGGAGAGGTCATTAAGGTGTCTAAAATCACCATTGAATCTAAAAGTACAAATCCTTTACATCATCACACCTTGACTGGTAAATGCAATAGCTTACCTTTTGAATACACGGTGCCTCCCATAGATTCGCTGCCGCTATCACTCGAATCGCAACGCTCAAAAAGTCGTTGAGAGGTGGTAGAGTTTAGGCTCACGCTCGTCTCGGCTCTTTAAATTCAGGAAAGAAAAAAATGTTTATACATCCGGGAATGATCTACTTTTGACAATCGAAGTAGTCCAGGAGGTGCCATCGCAGCTACCAGGCGCGAAAACGAGCCATGGCGCTAAATATGAGCCCTACACCGCACCAGTGATGCACATGACGCGGCGGCATGGGTCAGCCGCGTTGGCCCCAATGGCATCTTCTGACTCGTACTCATTAGGATTATTTGAAACAACAATATAAATTGATGAAGTATTCACTTCATAATAAACTAGTAAGCGGAATATTTTTTTAAGGGAACCATGTGGTAAAAAAATGAATATGGCCAGAACTTCCATCTGTGGGCACGTATTGAAATGTCTAAGGATGGGTGAAGGTGGAAATTGAAATTCAGAGAATCAACGCTGCTCGATTCTGGCGGAAATCGGAAGCCGTAAATAGGTGTCTGTGTCACTCAATGTTGAGAGACAGGTCATCGTGGGAGAACTCGGTCTTACTGCATAAATAAGTGCTAAGTAAATTTTAAGCTTAGTAAGGTTCTGGCCCCTATCAGCTGATTTTATGGAGACCTTATTAATATTACAGCGCTTACTTTCTAGGTAACTGGTAAATATCCGACTTGATGGCGCTATCCGAAGAAAAAGTCGAATTTACACCGTAGATAGTTTTCTTGCTGAACGATGATCGGCCAAGATCTGAAAATACTGTGAGTAAGGCGATAACCTTACTAAAATATTACCAGTACTGTCATAGCAAAACACCCTACTAAAATGCCAATTCAATTGATAAACTAATTTAGTGACATGCAAACTACCACACCATTCCCATTACCACAATCACAGCTGACCTAAGTTCACCAAAAGCTCATAAGCTCTTCTGTAGAACTCGAAAAACACTGAACGCCATATTCCTCTGAAGATTTCCAATTAATTAATTAAAAAATAAAAATTTCGTAGTCAAGTCTTTCTTGTTCTTCATAGGTGACACGTCTTTTAAAGAGGACACATGTTTTATCTCCAAATGGTACAAAAATAAGCAGAAAAATGAATTTTTATTTGACCAGACAACTAACATTTGATCTACCAATCCTGCCGTGTAATTTTACCGGGAACGACTCACAGTTGCGAAATTAATCGACCGTTCATCCCGCCGGCATGCTTGCTCAAATCCTTACAGATAAGTAACGGGTGAGTTCTACTGCTTTCTTAAGTATTACCAGTAAGTTAGACTTAGCTTAACTCTTAAGCAATTACAGGTTCTCAGTGGTAATTGGCAAGACTAAACCTTGTCTTCATCATTGGATCAATAGATGGAGAGTGACATTTGAAGGATTTGAACTCGCCCTGCCCTGCCTCGCTCATTCAAGTCAATCACTATAGTCAGTGAAAATAACTTTTTCATGATTCCCGCTTACAACCCAGAGCGCAGCCTGCTGGCCAGAAAAAAATTGAAGAATTACAAGTTTTCTTACTTTTATGTAGCCTCAAGCTCTTTAGTGGTCAAACTTACTGCAAAGCTCTTGTTTTCATGTGCCTGTGTTGAGAAGAAGGCAAAATTCATTGTTACTTGAATATTACTGGTATTCGCTTTTTTCTAACTAGTCCTTCGACAGATAAGCCTGTTCTGCAAGACTTTTGTCGACAAGTATTAGTCCTCCTTACCATTACCTCTTAGGAGTCACCGAAGATTTGTGGATTTCGAGAATTCAAAGAGATGTGCAAGGTTCTAATGACCCATGGTGGTCAGGCATGTATATAACTTTTTTCTAACAATAATATTTTGGTTAACACTTGCTATATACTTTCACTGTAATGGAAGAGCTAGTTCCCGAGAATTTTAGATCCCTTTGAAGTGGATTCCTAAAAGATTGAACCATTTAATCACCCATAGCCTTGTTGGTAGCGTCTTCCCACAGAGGAAAACAGGGGGGCGGTTTGAACCAGGAGATTAAGGAGCTCAACATAGGATATTTCAATGAATGTCGACTGTCTCACAAGGTTGGCGATTCATGGACAAAACTTCAGTTTTGGACGGGACTCGAACCCGTACTTGTCCTTTCCAGGGACCGTGCTCTTATCCCTTACCCCGTTT